CGATTTGAATCCTCTCCCCCTCTCTCTCCTCCTCCACCTCTTCACGTCGTCGCCGCGGAACCGCCGCTCCCGACCACGTCCGGCCTCTCCACCTCTATATAACCGACCACCGCGCCTCTCTCCACCTTTTTCCTCTTTCGCCGTCCACTCCCGAGCTCCCTATCGCCCTAGCACCGTGCACCCACCCGCCGCCACCATCTCCACCGCTCCGGCCGCCTCTAGCAGCCGCTAGGGTCGCCGCCGCACCCCGCCATCGGCGCCGCCGCGTCCGCCATCCCTTGAGCCGTCGCGTCCGCCGTTCGCTCGGCCAAATCCGTCGTCCGAGCCCGTTTCTCCCTACTCCGGTGAGCTTCCACCATTGCCGCCGCCTTCGGCCATGGTTTCCGCTCGCCGTAGACTCCCTCTCTCCCTCTAATCTCTCTCTTTCCCTCTCTTAGGGCAACCCGGAGCCCGTCGCCGTCGTCCTCCCGTCTCTCGTCGTTGCCGTTCGCCGTCGCTCCTCCCTCGCGCCGGCCGAGCCCCTCGGTGAGGATCGGTCTCCCTCTCTTCCTCTCTCTCCCTTTGCCGCGCCGCCCGCCGCGTAGCGCCGCCGCTAGGGCCGCTCGCGCCACCGCTTCGGCCGCCGCCGCCGTCTTTGCGCCGTCCGCCGCTGCCTCCGTGCGCGCGCCGCCGCCCTCGCCATAACCGGCCGGCCGGCTTGAAGCCGAGCCGAGCCAGGCCGCCTTCCCCCCCTTTGTGACGCTGCCCAGTGGGCCCGCCTGCCAGCCGCCCTCTCTCCCTCTCTTAGTGCCGCTGACCAGTGGGGCCCGCATGTCGGCACCGCCCCACCCCCTTGCTGACGTCAGCCCTGGGATGAATTATTGCGCAATAAATTGATTAAGGGTTTTTTTTTATAGTAATAAACACAGATAATCTTCTAAAAATCATAACTAATTCATCCGAGCTCCGTTTAAGCCCATTCAAGTCTCAGTAAATTCATAAAAATGTATAGAATCCATTAAAAATGGTTTTGTTTCCTGTTTCAGTAGTCTTATAGCATGTTTTGCTTGTGTGCTTTGTTTGTCGCGTAGATTTCGCCCGTTTCGTCGTTTCGCGGATTCTCGAAGACGTTGCTGTGGTCTCATCAGTGCGAGAGCAAGGCAAGTCATACATTGCAATTGATCATATTGTACCTAATATACAAATGTCCCGCATTTCTATTAAATATTACATTTGTTTTACAATATCATGTGGGATGGGTCCTATTACTCAGCCATATATTGCTTACCTTATGCCATTGATAACGTGGGTATTAAAATGACTAGATATTGGTTTAGGAGATGCTTAGCCATGCTTAGTTCAACTAGTGCACAAAGGGGGATTACATTAAAGCATAGACTTGATTATTGGCATAGCTTTGATTTAGTGCCACCGTAATGGTGTTGGTTAATTAAAATACACGTCATGGTGGGCTGTGGGTGCATGGTCTTGCTAGTCACACCCATGGCATTTAAGGACCGGTTCGCGGGATGCCCTGGAAGAACTTATCGTACTTACCACAAGCCAGCGTGGGCAAAGGCTGGGCTTGTAGTGTAGCTTTTCTCTAGCCGACGTACCCAGGCGAGGGTGGGCGTGATGGAGTTGGGTCGGCCGGGGTGTCCGGTTGATCGGCTTCCGGATTCACCGCGACACGAAAGGGGGGCTGCCCGTTGCCTGCTGGGGACGGGGGCGAACCCTAAGGTGTGGTGCGATCGGTTAGAGAGGGTTATGCGAAGGGTCCTGTCACGGCCTCTTTCCGGTATGTCGTGGTGGCATGTCGGCGCACGGGAACGTGTCGTGGGGCTGTGTCTTGTGGGTACAGTTGTACACCTCTGATCAGAGTAAAACTATTCGAATAGCCGTGCCCGCGGTTATGGGCGGTCGACCAGATTCACCGTGATTAGTTTCACCCTAGTTAGCTTTTAGAACTGGTTAGTTCAGGTGGTGGTTTGGGCCTGTTGCAACGTGGTGTAACGTTGGACAGTGATTGGTTAATATAGATTAATTACTACAGCTGTTTTACTGCTTTCAACTACTGCTTGAAATGCCGGCTTTATGCAAAAGAAAATTTAGCCTCCCTTGGATATATCTTGCATCATACCTCCTCTTCCGGTGTGACTTGCTGAGTACAGTGGGTAGTACTCAGTCTTGCTCTCTTTTCCCCCACACCAGAGTTGAAGTCCTTCTCAGTTGAGGATGTCTCGAAGAGGTTGGTTTCGTCGCTGCCGTCAAGGATGCCTGTGGAATGGAGTCGCCCGCTGCAGAAGTCAAGCCTTCAGGCTTAGCTCGCTTTTATCTTTTTCCGCTGCATTTGTAATCTTTTATATTTTTGTAAGACGTGGATCTGTATGTCAACAATTGTCGTTTGTGTACCCTGGCTGGTCCTGGACAGGGGTTTAATGCACATTCAGCTTAGAAATTCTGGTTCGTGAATTTCTGGGCGTGACACCGAGCCACAGCTCGTGTAGCCTTCATTTGCCCTAGAGATGTCCATCGACCCCCGACTTCGTCCATCTCCATCCGTGTACTTTTGTTTATAACCAGACTGAGCCACAAACAAAGCCTTACCCACTAGACATGTGGAAGTACGGTAGTGCTTTGCAATAGAGGCCCGAAGACCGGTACTTATATGGCCGAGGTGCTACTATCAAAACCATGCACCCCGAGCCCAGCCTAAAACCATTTTGAGGATTTTGAATAGAGGGGAAGGTGTGAGTCCAATTCCACAATAATCCAACTATTCCATAGTGTCCAGGTGATGAGAATATTCCCAAAGTCTAGAGTTATAAAACCACCTAATGTTGCCTAATTAACCAGCGAAGCATCTACCTAAATTCATACTAGTGGTACCATGAGTAGAGTGTCCACTAGTTGGGGTTTTGTTTATTCTAGGGTGAACAAGGTAATAATAACAATAGCAATAATAATAAGGTCATAACAAAGGTAAATAGGCATGGCTAAATAAAATAGTGATAACGCGAGAATTTAAATAAAGCGATAACGCATTAATTTAAATCAAAATAATTTTATAAACTGGGATTCAATATGTTCAAGGATGATGTGACTTGCCTTGCTCGCTTTCCCAAACGTCGGCTTCAACCTCCACGAAGAGTGGATCTTCCGAAGCTGCAGCGTCTACACGACCAACGGAAACGAAAAAGGCTTTTACTCTAATAAACTCCATATAACAAGCAGGAACAAAGCACAAAAATGGGTTCTTGACTTCTTAAGGAAAAATTAGAGACTTGAACGGTCCAATTCCGAGTTCAAATGGCCAAGTTATGACCATTTGAAGTTTATATGCTCTTTAAATGAATATTTGTGAATTTCTTTATTTAAATTTTAATTTAAAAATGGTTTATTGTCAGCCGAGGGGGAGGGGCGCGCGGACCGGGTCCACGGGAGTGGGGCCCACGCGGCAGCCTCACGGTCCACGGTGGACCGGGTGCTCCCGGGCTCACACCGCCGGCGCCGTGGGCCCCACGCGTCAGCCGCACCCGAGGGCGCGGGCGGCTGACGGCCGGGCCCCACACGGCAGCCACTCGGCGTACCCGAAGGCGGCCATGCCGGCGCGGTCGGCAGGAGGCGGCGCGCCTGCGCCCCTATGGTCGCCGGCGGCGGCCATAGGCACGGCGGAGCGGCGGCCGAAAGAGGGGAGGGAAACGGGGAAACGAGGCGGCGGTCTACGGCTCACCCTAGGTCGACGGCGACGACGAAAAAGGCGGCCGTAGCGGAGGAAGGCGGTGGCGTGGCTCGGGTCGACGGGGTCGGCGGCGTTCCGGCGGTCGGCGAGCTCGACGAGGGGGTGGACGGGGACGGCGGCGGTGCGGCGAAGCCGGAGGAGGCGACGCCGGGGCGGGAAACGGTCCCGGCGAGCGGGGAGAGCCGGCCGAAGGTCATCGGCGACGGAGGAGAGAGAGGGCGACGGCGCGAGCTCGATTCCGGCGAGGAGACGGTGCGGCAAGGGGCGGAAACGGGCGAGGGAGGCGCGGGGAGGGTTTAAATGGGGTTGGAAGGGGGAGAGGGCGGCCGGGGAAGGAAGGAAACCGGCCGGGAGGTCCGGCCGCCATCAATGGCGCCGGCGAGATTTGCGGGAGCAAATCCGCCCGTTTGAATGCGAGAGAGAGAGGGAAAAATGGGGGGAAAGGGGGAGGGGATCACGGGGAATATTTCCCCCCACATTATTGCACGCGGGGACGACGGGAGGCGGCGGGATTCGCGATGGCGGCGGCGCTAGGCGCGGGCGAGGCGGCGGGAGGAAGGGGATGACGGGTGGGCCCCACCCGTCAGCGAGGGTGGCGTGCGGGCCCGCCCGTCAGCGGCACGCGCGAGGGGAGGGGCCGAGTGGGCCGCGGGGAAGAGGAGAGAGGGGGAGGGAAATGGGCCGAGCCGGCCCAAGAGAGGGAAGGGGGATTTTTAGGGTTTTTCTTTTTATAAAACCTTTTTAACTTTGTTTATTTCTTAACAATTATTATTTGTGCTCTGAAAATTCCACTAAAATTTATTTACACATTTTAGGCTTTTAGGAAATATACAAAAATCCTCTAAGCCTTATTTGACTTTTACTTTGCACATTTTAAGTTTTGGACGCTTTCACATAGATTTTAATTATTCTAGACATAATTTAAAGGATATATTTTAGGGTCGTTTTGGGACGCGACAGGTGTGGCCGACGATGTGGCTGTTCCAGTCCTTCTTCGTCCCGCAGCTGCTGCATGGTGCGGTGGTGGGGGGATGCTACTTCCAGCCCCGACGAGGCACGGCGGGCCATACATCGAGAGTCATCTCTGGAAGAAGTGAGAGGACTAGAAGAAGGACTGGTTCTACACCGCATTGCCAGACCACCTGCGACTTCGGTTCTCCGCCGCCCCCCCCCCCCCGAACGATCAGCCGCATGGCTGGCGGTTTCGGAGCTGGGCGAGGAGTACGATGTAGTGCAGACTCGCCTTAGGGGCCTGCGAAGCCAGGGCCTCACGGGGGCAATGGTCTTTGGCGATTACTTCCGCCGCCGCATCGTACCTCTCCAAGAGCGGTCCCGCGGCACGTGGGAGTACACTGGACCCAACGATCCCATGCGCACCCATGTGGGTGAGCGCTGGGACTGGGGCGAGGACGACGCGAAGACGGTGATTCGTCGGGTGCTGGGTCTGGACACCGCCGAGCAAACACTGATCCCAGACAGGATCCTTCCCATCTGCAGCGACCGCGACCGGGAAAGTATCCTGGCTGTGATGTCGGCCGTCGGCGCCGGCAGGGGTCGGTCCCGCCGGGGCAGCGCCGTCGGCATGGGTAGCAGCGGCGCGACCGTAGGTGGGAGTCGAACCAGTGGCTCCGGCGGGGGTGGTAGCTCCAGGGCACCCGGCCCGAGCCGCGGGCCCGGGGGAGATTCGGCCAACGACCCGAAAGGAAAGCGGAAAATGTCCAAATCTCGACCGCCCTCTCCTCCGTGCATAGGGGGCGCCGAGCGCGTGGCGGACCGACCGAAGTTGGACGGAAGAAGAAGCGGCTCCGGAAGAAAGGTCAGACGGAGCCGTGCCGGGGGAGCTTTATCGAGCCCCCAAATTGGACCTTCAACCGCCCTCCCCACAGGTACGACTGCCGGCATCCGCTTCGGTGCTCTTTACTCATCTCGGCCTCTTGTTCCTTCCTCTTCTTTTTCTTTGTTAACGCGATCAGGGTTCTTTTGTAGCGAGATTCCTTCCCAGGGGGTCTCGGCGTCTGACCCTTTGTTGGGGTCAAAATCCGAGCGACCGGAGCGGCCCGGGCTCGGCTGATCCAGCGCCGCGGGGCCTTCACAGCCTTACGGCGGGGCCCACGGGCCGCACGCCGGGTCTGGCCCCGAGTCCACCACAGTCGGGACAAGACCTGCCGCGAGCGACAGCGGCCGCGGCGTCCCTCCCGAGGGCGACACCGAGGCCCAGACCCGCGTGTAGTGCCACCCGGGAGCGGGGGCCGAGGGGGGTCGCGGCCCGAAAGCTGAGGCTGGGGGCAGCCCTGAGCCCGAGGCTGAGGCCGAAACTAGGGCGGGCCCGAGCCCGAGGCCGAGGCCGAGTCTGCCCGAGGGCCCAAAACGGGGGGGCGAGAGGAACAGCCGCTCCCCCTTGCATTTGGGGTGCCCTCGGGGCTGGCCGCGCGGGAGGGGGGTTGAGAGCAGCCCCCTGTCTCGCGGGGGATCCAGCAGCACTCCGTCGTTACAGGGGCGGACCGCAACTTTCTCTTCTCCGACGCCGGCAAGTATGGAGCCTCTCCTGCAGGTGCTCGCCACCGCCGATTCCACCGTCCGGGAGGGGCTCAACGCCCAAGTACAAGCCCCGGCGGAGGAGCGGGCGGCCCTGGAGGCAGAGTGGGCACAGCTTGTGGCGGACCGCGCGCGGGTTGACGAGGGGCGCCGCGCCGTGGACGACATGGTGGAGGTGGGGCGCAAAATGCGCCAAGCCCAACTGGCAGAGATCCAGACGCGTGAGGAGGCGGCACTGATCACCTCAAGCATCCTAGATGAAGCGCTGGGTGACATCCGCTTGCAGTACGAGGCCTATGCGAAGGACCTGACGAAGAGGGTCGAAAATGCCTGCGGTGTCATTGATGCGGCTGCCGCCCAAGAGCGGCGGGCCTCGGAGGCCGACGCCTCGCTGCGGGCTCGGACGGCGGCGCTCGAGGCCGAACGCAAGGCCTTGGACGAGCGCGCTCGCTCCGCGCAGGAGTTTGAGGCCACGGTTCGTCGGCGAATCGAGGTCCTCGACCGGAACCAGCGCGAGCAAGACGCGCGCAGCCGGGAGCAGGCGCAGCGAGCCCAGGAGTTGGAGGAGCAGGCTCAGGCGCTAGAGGAGCAAGCACGTTTGCTAGACCAGCGGGAGTCCACCTTGGCCGCCCACGAGAGAACGGCGACGGAAGCGGAGGCCTCCCTTCGTCTTCGTGAGGAGGCCGCAGCCGAGCGTGACCAGACGACCCTTGCTGCGAAGGCTTCGGCGGCCCGTCGTGTAGAGGAGCTACGGCTCCGGGAAGAGGCGTGCCGGGAACGGGACGCCGCGCTCGCCGAGCGCAAGGCCGAGGTGAACCGCCATGAGGTGGCGACGCGCCGGCTGCGTGTCACGCCCAGAAATTCCCGAATAGAATTCCAAGTAGAATGTGCATTAAAATCCCCGTCCAGGACCGGCCGGGGTACACAAGCGACAAAGTTGACATATAGATCCACGTCTTACAAACATTATAAAAGTCTTACATAAATGCAGCGGAAACTTAAAAGATAACTAGAGCTAAGCCTTGACTTGGACTGCAGCGGGAACACCACTCCACAGGCATCCTCAACGGCACGGACGAAGCCTACTCCTCGGAAAAGCCACCATCTGACGCATACTCAAACTCTGGGGTTTGGGGAAAATAGAGCAAGACTGAGTACTACCCACTGTACTTAGCAAGTCATACCGGAATAGGGGTATGATGCAGGGAATCATCAAGGGATAGCTATAATGGTTCATTTGCATAAAGCGAGCATTTATAAACCGAAGATGGAAGAAGAAAAACAGTTGTAATAATTAATCAATATTAATCATCCACTGTCCAACACTATACCACGTTGCAACAGGCCCAACCAACCACCTGAACTAACCAGTTCCATCAGACTATACTAGGGTGAGACTAATCACGGTGAATCTGGTTGACCGCCCATAACTGCGGGCACGGCTATTCGAATAGTTTTACTCTGATTAGAGGTGTACAACTGTACCCACAAGACATAGCCCCACGACACGTTTCCGTGTGCCGACATGCCACCACGACATACCAGAAAGAGGCCGTGACAGGACCCTTCGCATAACCCCCTCTAACCAAGCACACCACACCTCAGGTTTCACCCCCACTCCTCGCAAGGCAGTGGGCAGTCCCCTCTCGTGCCTAGGTGAATCCGAAAGCCGCATAGGCCGTCGCAGGGCCCATCCAAACTCCATCACGCCCACCCTTGCCTAGATGCGTCGGCTAGAGGAAAGCTACGCTTCAAGCCCAGCCGTTGCCCACGCTGGCTTGTGGTAAGTACGAGGAAGGGGAGGGCGGCGCCGACATGCGGGCCCCACATGGCAGTGACTCGGGGAGGGCGGTTCACGGTGGACCGAGTCCACGGACCGGGGAAGGGGTGGCGCGCCACGTGGTGCACACGTGGCGCTGACGCGGCGCACACATGGCAGCCACGCGGCAGCCCCGCGGGTGGCTGAACCGACGGCCCCGATCTACCTCGGGTAGATCGGACGGCGGCGAGGAGCACGCGGCCGGCGCGCACGGGCGGCTCGAGCCGGCCCGGCGGCCATGGCGCACGGTGGCGCTACCGCGGGGCGGCGGCGCGGCAAACGGCGGTGTCCGACGGCAAGCGGCGGCAGCGGCGCGACGGCGCGGCGACGCTGGCGGCGGCTAAGCGGCTAGGCGGTGGCGCGGTGACTAGACGGCGCGGGAGAGAGAGAGAAAGAGGAGGAGGTGCCTCACCAACGACAAGCGACGACGGCGAGCGACGGAGGGCGATGGTGACGGCGGGACGATCTCCGGGACCACCTAGCGAACACGATGGAAGGGGTTAGAGAGGGAGAGGGATTTGGAAGAGGGCGAGGACGCCGGCCGAAGGCGGCGGCCATGGCAGTGCTCACCGGCGCACGGCGCGGAGTGGGTTCCAGCGGTAGAATCCGACGGGAGAGGGGTGGACGGGCTGGCCCGCACGATGGCGAACGCGACGGCGTCGTCGGCGCGGCTCGGCACGGCGTCTAGCGGCGGCTAGCGGCGACCGGAGCAGCGGCGGCGGTGGCGGAGAGGAGGGCGACGGCGCTAGGGCGTTAGAGAGCACGGGAGAGCTCGGCGAGATTGGGAAAAAGAGAGAGGGAGTGGCGGTGGAGCTTAAATAGAGGAGGGGGAGCCCGGACGTGGCCGGTAGAGGCGGGAATCGCCGGCCGAAGTGGGGGAGTGGGGAAGGAGAGAGAGGCAGGATTCGAAAATCGAATCCCGGCTATCTCGAGCGCGGGCGTAGGCGGGAGAGAGGGGGAAGTGGGCGCGGGGAACGCGGGTGCGAGGGCGACGTGGGCGACATGGCCCGAGAGACGCGGGAGCGGGGCGCGGCGGCGCCGGCTGGAGGAATGGGACGGGCCCGACAGGTGGGTCCCACCTGTCGGCGACCCCGGGAGAGAGAAGCGGGCGGCCGGCTCAGCTCGGCTGGGCCTCGGCCTTCGGCCGGCCCAGCGGGAAGAGGAGGCAGAGGGAATTGGGCCGGCGGACCAATCGAAAGAAAAAAAGGGGGAAAAGAAAAAGAAAAGGAAGGAAAAGGACTTTCCTGGGATTAAATATTGCTTGTGCTCAATTTTAATTGGTTAAAATTATTTCTAGAGCTCTGAAAATTCCACTAAAAATCTGGTTAGCGTATTCCGACATGTAGAACTCCAGAAAAATTTCACATGCCAAATCCGATTATTGTTTGCATTAATTTATTAGGGTTTACTCTTGCTTTACACCGGTATTTTCTTGAGACCATTTATAACTTCAATTTAGGCTTGGGAAAGAACTTCAGGGTGTGACACTGGGCGAGCAACTCGCGGAACGCGAGGAGGCCGTCACCGGGCGCGAGGCTCGGCATCTGGAGAGCGCTCGTGCCGAGCGCGCGGCGATGGCGGCGAGGGCTTCTAAGCTGGAAGGCCGGGAGAAGGACCTGGCGGCGGGCGGGTAGCCCGGCGGCGCGAAGTTGGTGAGCCAGCTTACCGTGGCTCAGAGCACTCTTGCCGACCTAGGGCGCCTGGTGCAAGACCAAGCTGGGGAGATCGCGGCCCTCCGCCTTACCAACGAGATCGGACCCGGGCAACTCTCCGATGCCGTCGATCAGCTGGAGCGACTTGGAGTGGTCCGGTTTGCCCACAGCACAGCGGGCAACTCTTCAAGCCACGAATCCCCGTGCTTCTTCAAGACGTTGTACGTCTTAGTCTTGAGGCCCTTGAGGATTTCTACGTTGGCTCGCTCGACTTCGCCGTTGCTCTTGGGGTGGGCAGGCGAGGCGAAGCATAGCTTGATGCCCATGTCGTCGCAATAGTCGCCGAACAGCTCACTGGTGAACTGGGTACCATTATCCGTAATGATACGGTTGGGCACCCCGAACCGGGACATGATGCCCCTGATGAACTTGAGGGCGGAATGCTTGTCAATTTTGACGACCGGGTAAGCCTCAGGCCACTTGGTGAACTTGTCGATAGCGACATACAGGTGTTGATACCTGCCTCGAGTCGCTTTGTACGGTCCAAGGATGTCTAGCCCCCAGACTACGAAAGGCCAAGAGAGCGGGATGACCTGTAAGGCTTGAGCCGGCTGGTGCGTTTGCTTGGCGTGGAACTGGCACGCCTTGCATCACCGGACCCATTCCTGGGCGTCTTGCAATGCGGTCGGCTAGTAAAAACCTTGTCGGAAGGCTTTACCGACTAATGTGCGTGAGGCCGAATGTGCCCCACACTCACCTTCATGAGCGTCGGCAATGAGCTCGACGCCCTGTTCTCGAGAAATACACTTCAAGAGTATCCCGTTGGCGGCCCGTCGGTAGAGGGTCCCTTCTACGAGCACGTACTGCTTAGAGATACGCGAAAGCTTCTCAGCTTCTGCGCGACCCTCAGGAAGAGTATTATTGTCGAGATATGCCCAGATGTCAGTCATCCAGGCGACGTGACGAGGGGTGTCGGGGTCGACCCCCTCGGGCCCTGAGGCCCGTGGGTCGTCGGGGCTTGGGGCGGAGGTCGTGGCACCGGGGTCCCTCGGGGGGGCCAATTATACCGACGGCTGCGCGAGCCTTTCCTCGAAGGTCCCAGGAGGGAGTGGGGCTCGTGCCGACGCGATACGCAACAACTCATCAGCGATTGCGTTGTCACGTCGGGGCACGTGCCGTAGCTCGAGTCCGTTGAAATGGCGTTCCATACGTCGCACTTCACGGACGTATGCATCCATTTCCGGGTCGGTGCATCGGTACTCCTTGGAGACCTGATTCACGACTAACTGGGAATCGCCTAGGACCAGGAGGCGGCGGATGCCCAATCCGGTCGCCGCCCTCAGCCCCGCGAGGAGTCCTTCGTATTCCGCCATATTGTTCGTGTCTCGGAAGTCGAGCCGAACGACGTACTTGAGGACGTCCCCGCTTGGCGAAGTCAGCGTGACTCCGGCCCCTGCACTTTGAAGGTTGAGGGAGCCGTCAAAATGCATAACCCAGTGCCCGACGCGAATGTCGGCGTTTGGGTCCTCTGCATCTCCGGGGAGGGAGGGAACGTTGGACGGAATAGGGTCGTCCACTGGGGTCCACTCCGCGATGAAGTCAGCCAGGACCTGGCTTTTGATCATGTGCCATGGTTCGAAGTGCAGGTCGAACTCAGCAAGCTCGATGGCCCACTTTACGACCCGACCAGTGCCCTCTCGGTTGTGCAAGATTTGGCCGAGAGGGTAGGACGTCACTATGGAAACCCGATGCGCTTGGAAGTAGTGGCGTAATTTCCTTGAGGCCATTAAGACTGCATAAAGCATCTTCTAGGCCTGTGGGTATCGGGTCTTCGCGTCTCGGAGCGCCTCGCTCACAAAGTAGACGGGCCGCTGCACCTTTCGGTGGGGCCGGTCCTTGTTGTCAGGGGCAGATGATCTGGGGCGCCCTTGCTCAAGGGCCCCAGGGGGGGGTCTCGAGCCATGTCAGGACCATAGGCCTCGGGACCACTCGCCAAAGCCTCCCCTCCTCCCACGGAGGCCTCGGGGTCCTCTCGGGGGTTGGGGGCTTCGGGCACTGGGCTTTCGGGGAACGAAGTGCCATTGCCAATCAAGGGGGCCTCCGGTCCGCTCTCGTCACGCTCGACTACTAGGGCGGCACTCATCGCATGGGGGGTCACGGCCAAGTAGAGCACCAATGGTTCCTCCGGCCCCGAGGCTACCAAGATGGGGGGAGGTGAGGTAAGCTTTCAACTGACTGAGAGCTTGCTCCGTCCACACAAACGGCCCGGGGCGCTAGAGGAGTTTGAATAGGGGCAGCGCCCTCTCTCCCAGCCTCGATATAAATCGACTTACGGCGGCCATGCATCCAGTGACACACTGCACATCCCTAAGCTTGCGGGGGGGGGGGGGCGCATCCTCTCTATTGCACGTATTTTGTCGGGATTAGCTTCTGTGCCTCAGGAGGAGACTAGAAAACCGAGGAGTTTGCCCGCCGGCACACCGAACACACACTTGTCGGGGTTCAGTTTCATGCGCGTAGACCTAAGATTGTCAAAAGTCTCGGCCAAATCCTGCAACAAAGTGTCCTGGTGGCGCGTCTTTACCACCAGGTCATCGACATACGCCTCTATATTGCGCCCTACCTGATTACTCAAAGTAATACGAGTCATATGCTGAAAAGTAGGGCCTGCATTCTTTAAACCAAAAGGCATAGTTGTATAACAGATAGTGCCCATAGGAGTAATAAAGACAGTTTTTTCCTCATCTACCCTAGCCATGCGGATCTGGTGATACCCAGAGTAGGCATCTAGAAAACACAAAAGGTCACACCCCGCAGTGGAGTCGACTATCTGATCTATGCGTGGTTAAGGGAAGGGATCCTTAGGGCATGCCTTGTTGAGGTCCGTGTAGTCGATGCACTTCCGGAGCTTGCCGTTGGCCTTTGGGATGACCACCGGGTTTGCCAGCCACTCTAGATGGATAACCTCGCGGATGAAGCCAGCCTCCAGGAGCAGCGCCACCTCCTCTCGGATGAAGGCCTACCGCTCCGGGGCTTGACGCCGTACTTTCTGCCGGACGGGTCGCGCGTCTGGCCGCACGGCGAGGCGGTGCTCGATCACCTCCCTGGGACCCCGGGCATGTCCGACGGCTTCCATGTGAAGACGTCGGAGTTTGCCCGCAGGAAGGAGACGAGCGCGCTTTCCTATTTGGCGTCCAGGGTCCCGTCAATTTTGGCGGTCTTCGACGGATCATTGCCAAGGGGGATCTCCTTGACGGGCACCTCGTCAGCCGAGGTGAGGCACTTCTTGGAGGCGCAGGACGCGGAGGCCTCCGGGGCCTGCGGCTCCGTGGCCACCGCCAGGATGTCGACGCGCTGCTCCGTGCAGGCGAGGGCGACCTTGACATTACCAAAGACGGTGATGGGGCCACTAGGGCCCGGCATCTTCATCTGGAGGTAGGCGTAGTGGGTGGCGGCCATGAACTTCACCAACGCAGGCCTGCCCAGGACCGTGTTGTAGGGCAGATTGAGATCCGCCACATCGAAGTCGATCCGCTCGGTGCGAAAGTTGGTGGAGTCGCCGAAGGTTACCGGGAGCTCAACGTGGCCGAGAGGCCACGTGTGTCCCGGAGTCACACCGATGATCGGCAGTGACGGCTGGAGCTTCATCCCCGGAGCCTTGAGCGCGTCGAAGGCAGCCGGGGAGATGATGCTCAGGCTGCCCCCCCTCAATCAACCAGGACGCGCTTCATCCTGACGTTGTGAATGGTCAGGGAGACCACAAGGGCCAACTTCCCTCCACGAGCGAGCACTGTTGGATGGTCGCTCTGGTCGAAGGTGAGGTTCACCTCCGACCAGCGCGCCTTCCGAGCTGCCTCGTGGGTCGGGATGACGGCCAGAAGCTCTCGCCTCATGGCCTTGAAGCCTCGGCGGGAGGTGTGTGCGCAACCCCCCCCCCCCCCCCCCCCGCCGTCAAGCGTGGCGACGGTTCCCTGAGGTATCTGAAACTACAGATCCTCGCTGTCATCGCCGTCATTTGCGGGGGCCTTCTTCTTGGCCTCCCCTCGCCGGTCATCGGGTGGGGTTGCGGGGGCCTTGCCCTCTCGTCAACCTTGCCACTTCTCCTCATCGGCTTTCCGGAACCGCTCAGCCAAATTCTTGATCGAGCGGCAGTCGGCGAGACTGCCGATAAGTGTTGTGCACCGAGCACCACTTGTCTGCCAACCGGCCCTCGCCGGATGGAGCAGTGGAGCTCAGCTTGTCGCCGGTGGCTTTTCCCTTGCGCGGGGCCCGTGTGGGCCCATCGGCCGCAAGGACGTGGCCCTCGTCATCGGAGCGGGCCGACTTCCTTTTTCCCCACCTATCTCGCCGCTTAGAGCGGGGAACAGACTCAGGGGTAGCCGCAGCCGCCGCGCTGGTGCTGGGGGAGTTCCAGGCCCATGCCTCCTTCCGAGCCACCTTGTCCGCCAACTCGAAGAGCTCGGCAGTGATCTTGGGCTCCTTGGAGGCGTTCTTCTCCAGCATGCGGTTATGCCGCAAGCCATTCCGAAACGCATAAACAACCGCGTGGGCCAGAATGCATGGAATAGTGTTGCGGACCTGGTAGAAACGCTGTATGTACGATCAGAGGGACTCGTCGTCCTTCCGCTGCACAGCATGCAGGTCCGCCTCTTCTCCTGGGCGGGGGTATGTGCCCTAGAAGTTCGTGATGAACTGCTGGCACAGGTCCTCCCAGGAATGGATGCAGTCGGGGGGCTGGGTCATCAGCCAGCCGCGCGCCTGACCCTTGAGGGCCATGGGGAAGTAATTCGCCAGGACCCGGTCGTCGCCCCCTGCCGCCACGATGATCGTGGTGTAGATCTGGAGGAACTCAGAGGGCGAAACTTTGGGGGCCACCGGACGTTCTGGAGACTCACAACGAAGGCCCTACAACCGGTCCCTCCAAGGGTGAACGTGGGGGGCGGGCCGCCTCACGAGGAGGAATGCGGCACTCCATACGAGGA